TTGTAAAGAAAAACATACAAATGATATTACTGAGATGCTTCAAGTTTTTGGAAACTGGATTTTACAAACTGCTACTATGGGTAATGAAAATATAAAAAAAAATTATTTGCCTGGTTATCAACAATACTTGTAATGTTTAACAAAGAAGTACAATGTCCTATGAAGTCTGTAAACTCTTTTCTTCTCAAACTGATATTTAAAATTGGACAAGTAGATCTTTCTACACATTCTAATGAATGTTTTGGATTTACGCCAGAAACTTCAGAAAAAATTGGGGAGCAATTAGGAGTTGCGATTTGGAAGTCTCGATCCCTTATATGTCAAAACAAATCCAAACTTGAATCACCATCATCATTAGAAGAATATCATAGTAGATTTCTGTCTTTTTTAATATCTTTTTTTACATCATTGATTATTACTTTACATATGAAAAAATATAAAGCTAATAATGGTTTATCATCGGTAAATACAACTCTTTCCGACGATCACTTGGACCAAATTTTCCAACAAAAAGAAAAGCCTTTTTCGATACTGGAGAGTAGTAACCTGTAGTAGGTGAATTCAACAGGGTGGTTTTTATAAAGGTTAACCTTTCTCTATTCTTGGGAACTCCTTTATATATTTGATATACAAGCCAAAAGCATCTGTATACAAGATAACTAGCAGAAGATGGTGCTCTCGTATATGAAATTTTGGTGGATAGGTGGAGGTGATAGAAGTCCAAGCCTTCCGTCAATGAAGCTATCAACTGGAAAACAGTAAAGAACAGGCTTCTTTAAGCCACACTCCCTTTTTCTGGCCAAGTAGTGCCTACTATCTTTTTCTCGCTTCACTGCCTTTCTTCCAAAATTTTTCAACAAAAAGTTGGAATTTGGCTTACCCCTCCAAAAGATCGGCATTGTTTACTTCCCAAATTTGGACAGACTAGTAGATTGCAACCACGTGTTTGTTTACGGACAGATATGGCGCTACTACATGGGACTCGGCCCGGGAACTCTAATTACGGCAAAAGGGAGCCTTGATATAGGTTCTTGGACAACAGAGCTATCTGAATTCGGTGGGAAGGTTGGAAAGTTAACTTTAATATTAATGTAGAGTTTTACCTTTACAAGAGAGATATACAAATGTTGCATTTGTTATATAAT